GGATCAGCTTGTGGCTCATTTACATCTTGTTGTTGAATCTTCAGTAATCACACCAAGCATGTATGCGTTCAAAGTGGAGAGGAAAAGTCCTGTTTTAACAGAGGGTAACCCCCAGCAGAACCAGGCTCAGTGTAACCAGCCTTCTGCTGACCCTGACTTTGGTGACTCTTATGGGAGATACAAAAAAAAGCAGATATAAAAAATGTAAGTATTAAATAGCCAGATAAGCTGAGCTACATCTCATCTCAAAGGATGAAAGAAAGCAAATGCATTTAGTTACAGTAAAAGACACAAGACTACATTGAAAAAAAAGCCCAAACCCTACATATGCAGACAAAGGTGCTGATGGCAGCAGCCCAGATGATAATTCTTTCTTGGATGCAGTCACAATCAAACAGAAACAGAACAGATTAAGCTAATAGGACAAGAAAAAAGCAGAGAACATAAAGTTTTGGTTGGAACTAAACAATATGGCAGAATAGGAGAATATAGATAGAATGAAGCAACATTATGAAAAGGGGTCTCTACCTCATCCAGTAGTCTAAAAGTATTCTGTAGCAACATAACTATAGAGGCATGAGAAGGGAGTATCTATCTGGACTGAAATCTCCCCCGCTGGATCAGGCCATTCACTAAACCTCCTCCTCACAAAGCAACTAAGCAAACATCACTTTGTTTTTAACTCTAAGCTTTATCATAAAGGAAAGTTTTAAGCTTAGTCTTTAAAGTAGACAGGGTGTATTTCACAAGGACTAAAACTGGTAGGTGGTTCCACAGTGGAGAAGCTTGAATATTACCAGATCTGTCTCCCATTCTTTTAAAAACATTTTTTGAAATGCTGGGAACCACTAGTAAACCTGCAGATTGAGAGTGAAATATTTTGTTAGGATCAGAAGGAACAATCAGATCTCTGATATAAAATGGAGCTTGGTTATTTAGGGCATCATATGTCAGTGGGAGAATTTGAAATTATATTCTGGATTTAACAGGAAGCCAATAAAGGAAAGCTAAGTTAGCAGAAATGTAACCTCTTTTAAACATTTCATCCAAACTCTGGCTGCAGCATTTTGGATCAGCTGAAGACTTTTGTGGACTTCTTGATAGAAAATAATTCAAATAGTCCAGCCTTGAAGTATTACAAATGCATGATCTAGTTTCTCAGCATCATAAATGGGCATGATATTTTTAATTTCTGCAACATTACTGAGATGAGAGAAGGAAATTGTATAAACCTGTTCGATATTGGGTTTTAAATTACATGTCCTAATGAAAAATAAAACCAAGTTTTTTTATTCTATTATGTGAGATCAATTTAATCCATCTAGATGAAGTGACTGACCAATCAGTTTCTAATTGTCTTTTAGACATTTTGCTTCTATGCATACATAAGCAGTATTTTACCTCGCGACTGGTTGTGTTGCTTTTGTAAATATAAATATAAGGGCTTTAATCATTAACAGACTGACAAAAGGAAAAAAAAAAATC